CCCCCCCCCCCCCAAAAGTGGTTTTTCATACAGCGAGCCCCCCCTTTTTTTTTTTTTTTTTTTTTAAGTGTGAACCTACGTTAGCATGATACTGCTAGATCAATACTAAGTGCAGCCATCATGTTTTCCTGAAGCTCAGTGTATGCGCACGTGTGTGCGAGTTGTATACACAAGGCGGTATGTTACCACACCTTTCTCCGAGTTTGTCAGACAGCTCCTCCAGGACCTGGACTGCTTGCCGGTGATACTGCAGCTGGGATTCCACCAGAGACGAGAGCTGGCTCACCTGCTCGATCTACTCACAAACACACAACACGGTGTCCCGACCAAACATCATCACGAATGCCAGTCCAACTGTACGCTTAAGTGAATAAGCGAGAGCTCACGTCGGTCTCCAGCAGGTTATACATGCTGGTCTCCGCGACTTCCTTCGACTCGTGAAACTTCTCCAGGGCCTGTCGGATGTCCTCATCGGGAATTTTGCCCTGCCGCTTTTTTTTGTAGTCGTAATCCAGGCGGCGACCTTCCAGCTTCTTGAGGTGGTGCTGCGAACCGACGGAATCACAGAATGACGCCACAGCGCACCCCCGTCGTGAAATGCGGCGCGTCACATTGGGTAAAAAAAACCTGAATTTCTCGGAGGTCCTTGTCGCAGAGGCCTTGCAACGGGTCGATGAAGTTCTGTTTGACGTCAATGTCTAGCGAGTCTTTGACTTCCGCCATTCTCTTCATGGCTTCCCCGACTTCCACGAGTGCGCCACCTGGAGACGGACATGAACATGTCAGCGACGCAATAAAGCATCGACATTTTGACCACACTTTGCAAATGTGTGTTTTGCTGCTGCCACTTAGCGCTGATGAAATGATTCAGACCCACATGCTAAAATTTAAAACATTTTTGTATCGTTCTCCACCAGCATGCTTCAGAGAAATTTAAGTTTCAAACATATTTTTTTGAAAGTCCATGAAAATCCTGTGAATGACAAGCACCTTTGTGTATCGTACGGTCGCCTGGTTTGCTGGTATACGTTATTATCCGAGTGAATAATATGATAGGATAAAGATTCAATTTTGCGGCACGACGTGGTTCTCCCACTTACCAAAGTTAGTCTCCTCTCCCAGTTCTCTTCCATACTTGGTCATGCATTCTCCCAGAAGCCCCTCGGCCTGGGGGTAGCCGGGGTTCTTCACCTGACCGCGGATTTTCGACATGGTGTTCAACATGGATAGTTTGGCCCTCGATGCTGCGCCAGGGCAGAGAGAAGGACGCTGATGAAACACTTCCAAAATCTTGCAATATAATATTGTAAATATGCAAACGGTCCCCCCCCTTATCCTCCTCTCTCTTACCGGGGTTCGGCTGGAGATATTCGGATGTTTTGGAGATCATTTCTGCGACAGCCTTACTGGTCACGTCCACTTTCTGCAAAGACACGGCAAGAACTTCAACAGCAAATAAAATTCCAGGAATTTACCCCGTATAAAAAAACTAAAATAAAATAAAAAAATGATTCGGAATAAAAAGGATTTTTCCAAATTGATGGTTGGCTTTATTCGCTGCTGTTCATTTCAATCTGCAAAGTAGTCATTCTTTAAAAAAAAAAAAAAGCTACTTCAGTTCAACAACTCTCTTGAAGTCTTTCTCGCTGGAGGTCAACTGTCTAACTCAGACCAGCTTGCTCATCTTCCCATGCCTCTCGCTCATGGACAGATTCTGCTGTACCAGATAAGCGCTTCAGATGTGGAAATCCTTGATCAAGTCAAAAAAAAAAAAAAAAAAAAAATGCTGAGGAATAAAGAGGATTTCATAGGAATGAGCCAGGAATTTTTCTAAATTGACGGTTGGCGTTATCAGCTGCTGTTCATTTCAATCTGCAAAGTCATTCTTAAAAAAAAAAAAAAAAAAAAAAAATAAAAAAACTAAAATAAAATAAAAAAATGATTCGGAATAAAAAGGATTTTTCCAAATTGATGGTTGGCTTTATTCGCTGCTGTTCATTTCAATCTGCAAAGTAGTCATTCTTTAAAAAAAAAAAAAAAAAAAAAAAGAATAACAATAACAATCCCATCTATGCTTTCTTATGTGGGCCGAGATTTTTTTCAGGGCCCTTTTCACTCTCGCAAAGGGTGTGACGTGTGTTGACCTACTCGTGTCCGCTTTACTGACTAAGAAAACTTTTTTTTTTTTGCTATTGTTGGCTCTCTCATTGTTCATTTTGAAAACCAATCTGTTGCCTTACCCGCTCCAGATCTCTGAAGTCGTCATCAAGTTTGGTTCCTTCAGCGCCGCCAACCTTCTCACTCACCATCTAGCGGCAGAGAGGAGAAAGACAAAGAGCCAGGGGGGTCAAAAGGGGGGAGGGTATAAAGGGTGAGCTCATTTCATGAGGCCCATAAGGTTCTCATAGACACATCCACACGCCTGCTCCGCAGCTAGACGCCGCCATTTGCTTGACTGTATTGTTTTGGTGCAAGGACTAATTGTTTCAGTCTTGTTGACTTGGGGCTCGGCGACTTTGTACATCTGTCCCGTTCTGTTTTAAGTTCCTCCTGGATCCATTGGCCGTAAACACCAACTTAGATAACGGCGATGATTTACAGCCCTGGGTTGCAGAATAACTGTGTGACCCACTTTATAAGCATAATAAATAACACTTATTTTTTTTAAACCCTTACGTCATGCTCATACTTTTGCCAGCAATCTGTTTCAGGTTTCAGTATCGACGACAAAAAAAAAAGTGAGTAATTATCAGATCTGGCAAATGTCACATGAGAATGATGGAACCAAAAATAGTTTGAATTATTGGTAAGGCTTGAAATCCTTTTGTCATGGCTGGAATTACATTTTTTGGAGGGGGGCGGGGGGGGGGGGATAAGGCTAAGGTTGAAACGCAGCCTTGAGGCAGTCAGGTCACAAGATAGTCTTTGCTGACTCGACATCACAGAAATCAAGATTTGTGTCTCCGGAGGTCTCCAGGTTCAAGTTCGCTTATCTATTAGAAGGGAGCTCAAACGGCTGGATTTATATGATGGTTCAAGGGACTTTGCTTTTGCTTTTTCTTTTTGACTCCAGAGAGGCACACTTCGCATATGTGTCATTGAATCAGATAGCCTCAGATTGGAATCGGGCCGCTTCCAAATATGGATAAAAAAAAAAATCAGATACAAATTGGATCACTGCCCAATCCGAGCGTAGCATCGACACATCAATCAGATCAACAAAGAGTCCGCGCATTTACTCCAAGTTGTATTTATGAGCCGAGATTCACGAACTAAACCGCTTGTTCGATTCTAGAAGATCAAGTGAACTTTTTATGAATTATTTATTGTCTCATGTCAATGACATGCTGTCAGGAAATGCATAGCGGTCAAGTTCCCAAATTTTTTAAAAAAAATAATTATATGCAACAACATCATACTTGCGGTAACGTCATAGAAAGCAGCCGCTCATGCTCCACATTGGATGTATGTCATTTGAAAATGTAAATGCAAACCAGAATGGGGCACTTGTACGTGAAGGGTAAAACCGGCCCGCGTAAGCGTCTGTGCCCTCACGTCGCTGCAACATTTTTGTTTACATGCACACAAGCTGAAGGAAACGGAGCAGAAAATAACCAAGAAATCGAGCAAAAAATGTCTGTGGATCAACACCAAGCCTTTTTCAAGCCCACATTAGGCTTCAAAGAAGATCAGAATTAATTTATTTTGATGACATGCAAGAAGAAACATAGTATGGAATCAATTGATTCTCATTAAACAGCAGGAAAAAAAAATCTTGTTTCATTTTCCTTGGCAGAGTGCATGCAAGAAGAAACATAGTATGGAGGAAAAAAAAATCAATTGATTCTCATTAAACAGCAAGAAAAAAAAATCTTGTTTCATTTTCCTTGGCAGAGTAAAATGTATATCATGCCCAGAGCAAAATAGGATCATTTGAGGACAAATCAACAAAATTCAAAGCTAAATGTCGGGACACATTTTGAATTTTACAAACAGGCAAGGAAGCACAAAATTAGACAAGTCACACGCAATATTTCAAGGCTGTGACGGAAAAAATCAAATATGTCCGGAAAAGCAGTGACTTGTAGCCATTCCCACCCAAACTTGCTCACCACAGCGGCCAAGAAACATGCACAGCTAGCACAACCTGCAATCCACATGAGTGTGTCGACAGTCCCTGCCTAACTGAGACAAAAAAATATATATATAACCCAAGCTGTAGGAGTCTATACAGTAAACGTATCATATTCCACAACCACCATTTTTTTTTCGTCTTACTTAACAGTTTCTCCAAATAAGCTGTAGAGAATCCAATAACTTTTTAATGATTAGACACAAAATCCAGGGTCACTGACTTGGCGCCCACGGGCACCAGTTAGCCCCAAGGACTACATGAGTTGCCCGTGAGTGATTTGGTGCAGGGCTCGGTCCCCATCCTTGGTGAATAGTGGCCGTTCACCAAACTGGCGGTAAGTATTTTGCTCCCCATGATGTCTAAAGGTCAAAAGCTTGGCTGCACTGTATTTGTTTACAGAATAGGTGTGTGGTTAGAGCGGAGTTTCACTTCCTGGCCCTGAACTGATATGTTCCAGGTTGGAACTTGGCGCACCTCTGCACTGTATGGGGTTGGGGGGGGATATAATCCAATTACATGAACACCCCCAGTGAGGACAAAATTTATCATTTGATCATGGAGAGCTTTCCATAATGTTTGGAACAATAGGCATGTACTTATTTCGTTTATTCCCGGAGGTCACCCGATGATCATTTCTCATATCAACAGAGGTTAGAAACGACTGCCTTCGAGGTTTCACTGGAACTGTCGAGGACCTCAAAGACATAAAATGCAACTTTTACCCTCTGGCCAATCGAGCTGTCAAACGTGATTTTTGTTTGTCTAGCCTTTAAGGTTCAATGCTTTTGGAGTTAATGATGATGTAAAAGCAGGCGAGAAAAGGAGAGGAGATAAACAAGGATGTGCGCACTGCTGGGCACTGATATCCAGTCCCGCTTCCTGTATGCCAGTGAGGAAAATCCGAGCTGTGTCAACTGTTATTGAGAAGAGGGAAAACAAAGGAGGTGCAGCCCAAATAATAATAAAAAAAGGGGAAAGTAGCGCTTATCTCGATGTGCTTAATGGTGTTGGGCTGCACATTTGGTACCTGGGCCTTTCGTGGCGATTTACCCAACTGAGTCCCACCATTATCACATCGCAATTATAGAAGCCATCAAAACTACACAATACAGCAAAATACACAGTACACCGCTAACATTGATATTCTACCTTTTGGTGTCGATTTAAGATACGTTGCCTGTATTTGTTTTAAAGTGCAAAAAGAACCCAAACCGTTTCCTCATGGCTGACCGCATTCATTCCATTTTATTTCTACACACAGTGGTGATTGCGTCTGCAGTTGCATTCGTCTGTGTGGGAAATGATTCCAGTTGAAACTTCAAGACAGAGATTTTGGTGTCAACTTAGTGGTTTGAGTTAATCGATTAATTGTTTCAGCGCTAGTTCGATAGTGTTTAGCGTCCACTTCTGGTGTTTATACACAAGCTCGTCTGACATTGCAACACATTTTAACCGTCAGGGATCTGTGTGTGTTCCTGACAGGAAGCCCAAGGCAGAAACCAAATGTCTTTCCTGCTTAGATCAGCAGGGGTGGTGAAGAAAAAGACATTCTTTTTCAGAATCCTTGCCCGCGTTGAGTAGAAGTAGGATTAGAAGTCCCACGTTTACGATTAATTCTCATCAATTGTGTGGCCAAAGACATCAGTGGGGGTTCACAATCTATATGTCATGGTTGATTTGTGGAACTCCTGGATTTAAATAACAAACAAAAAAAGGCTAACAACACAGCTGGAGTGGAAAAGAGGTCACCAGGTCTTCCAGAAAGTTGACACATTTCCAAATACATTCAAAAGTTGTTTGCTTCTCGACCGTGACTCACCGGGAGGCTGAAAGAACGATCGTCGGTGAACTTTGGTCAATAAAAATTCAAAGGGAAAGAAACGCCTGGAAGATTCACCTCCACTTTAATTAGCTTGGGGGTGGGGAGGAGGAGACAAAACACACGAAACAACAAAAACACCAAACGCATCGGGAAATGCAACATTTGCTTTTTTTCGTGTTAGTGCACCAAGAAGTAAACAGAGGTTAACAGTTCATTAGCATTAGCAGAAACTCAATCGCGTTAGCTTGAACGCTAAGGGAAGCTAACTACGAGAGTTTGTTAGCTAGCCGAACCCAAGCGGGGTGGTGGTGGTGGTGGTGAACGGGGCTGAAGAAGAAAAGTTGCACAAACCTGACTCGCTTTATAAAACTGCTTCTTCAAGCCTGCCACGGACATTTTGGCAGTGTCTTCAACTTCACGGCGTTTTCGTGGCGTGAAAGTGTCCCAAGTTGGCCGCGCAGCGTTGGGGGCAAAACGAGTGGAAATGATTCGGAGGTATCATAGGATTGCACAGATGTCCGTCAACTGGGTCGGGACACGCCGACTTGACCACGTCCACATCCACGTCCGCGGGGGAGTCGTCCCACTGTCACCGGACATACACCGGCTAGACTGTTCCCGAAGTGTAATTTAGTGCAGTGGTGAATTGTGGCGAGTTTCCACGTATTCACACAAACAAATCTGTGGAGGAATGAAATGATTCTGGGGCGAGTTTCAATGTGTGTTGGGTGGGTGGGTGAGAACTCTTGCATTGGTGTCTACCACCACCGTGTGGTTGCGATTGGAGGTGCAGGTTAGGTCACCAGGCCAGATGTTCTCGTTGCTCTTACATTAAAGCACACTTTTTAACTCGGTCGTCAGAGACAAACTTCACTTGTCATATAGGCTGAAAATGATTATTTACCTCACTCACACAACAAGAAAACTTTTCGCGCCAAATTACAGTGACGTGCGGTGAGATTCATGGCTGGTGAGGCATTAATATAAACATTTAGTACACGACAACTTTATTCATATAGCGCATTTCACAACAGCTGCAGCTGTAACAAAACCCTTTACATATAACATAAAATAATAACACAGCAAAAAATTGAAAACAATAAATTAAAACACAAATGAATGATACTAACATATATACAGTCGACATCAGAAAACAATAGAAAATTTTCAGTCTTGTGTTGGGTCCAAAGCAAAAGAATCAAGATGTGTCTTCAAACGAAATTTAAAAATGGAAACAAATAGAACTATCTTAAAATGAAGTCTAAAATGTACTGGGAGATTACGGTGAATCTTTTCTCGAAAGTATGTGTTATGTTACTATCTTGTTTGAAAAATAGTAATTTAAATAAAACACTGCACAAATCACTTGTTGCCCGGTGAGCCAGGGGCTTCTCGGGGGGCCTCCACTGAGTTGTTACAACGACCAAAGATTCCTTCCTGCTAACCAAAACTTTGGCTTGGAAACATTGAGTCGTTTAGATTTATTTTTCTAATCTTGTTTTGATGTTGTTGTTCCTGTTGGTCATAATTTTCCAGTGTTCTAATAAAATGACTGAAAAGTATGCTTAAATTCTGTCTCATAAACCAGATTTGTAACAATATTCCTGTTGACCAGAAGGTGTCAGAAATGCACTACTTTTGTAAGATTTACCGTTCATAGTCAATACTGTATTTGTACAGTATTTGGATTATGCGAGTTATGCTGTCAATAGATTATAGAATGAAATTAATTTTCACTCAAACATATACGTACGAATGTCAAAATCAGAGGAAGTGATAATTTCACGTACAAATTATGAACAGCTGTGCTTTGAGATACAAGCGACTTTGCGATCTGATCTTTGGCCAATTTTTGGCTGCAAACTGTTTACTGTATTACCATTTCCAGCTGAACTGTAGCGTGAAACTAAACATCAAACAAAGATAATTACATATTGTGTATTTAAAACAGCCACATAGCTTTGCCTGAGAAAAGTCCATTAGCTTAGTGCTAACAATGCAAAACGCCATAGACGGGCTAATGAATCAGTTTTGCAGTGTTATAACCGTTTCAGCAACGAATATTTCAACACTAACAGTGGAACAACACATGTAGACAATCTAACAATACTCACAGGCAAAAAAAAAAAAAAAGACTTACTGCAGTGAACTGAGTCACTTGCAGTAGTTGTTAAATTCTTCAAGTCTGTGACTGTTAGACTGCCCCCTGGTGGCCATGTCGCTCACACCAGAAACAGATGCAATCGATGTTGCACAACCATTTTCCATACTGCTCATTTGTGTTAAAACTGTACATTTTTGTGAAGTATCAGTACAATATCGCAGAGTAGTAATTTGCTTCTGAAAAACAGATGGAACGGATTATCATCATCTCTATTCATTTCAATGAACAATGATCAACGACTGCACCGGTGTCCTTAATTGTAAAAAGATTTTTATTACATTCTTAAACCCACAAAGTATATCACCATTGTGCAATAACACTTTCGTGTTAATAACCGTTCTGGCTCTTTTATCCATGACATGACATAAATTACTTTATTTAAATCTATCATGATTCAATAATAATAATCTTAAAATCGACAATATTATACACAGAAGGATCATGACAAAAAAAAGTTGAGGGAGACATATTTTAAAATGCTCTTTAAAAAAAAAATAAAATTACATCTCTCCCAAAGATGAAAAAGACACTAAACTGATGAGGAAAATATGACGGTACATATCAGGACAAAATTGAAGATCACGTCAAAACCAAGACAAGGATGAGAGATTATAATTCATATTTTATAAGCATTTTACTTTTCTCCCTCTTTTTTTTTCTTTTTACATTTTTCTTGACTTGTATCAATATCCTATTTAATCTATGACGCCAAAACAACGCGTCTCAACGATGACAATAATCAAAAGGGTTCAAATCTTTGATACTTTCTGTATTCCGACATTCACAAGAACATGAACTGTACACAGTGAGCAAGGTTCAAAGGTCGTCTACAGTTTGTTGGTGCGAGGTGCCTTGTAGACACGGCAGGACAGGACAGAGAGCTGAGCGATCACCCTGAGGAACTTCAACCGGGAATTTTTCATCCCGCTAAAATTGAGATGGAGGGATATTTTTTTGGGGGGGGGGGGTGCTGAAACGTGAATTAACATTCTACACAAAGTATTGCACCTTGTTACAATCCAGTCAACTCTGCGCATGAGTTGGCTCTGAATTTGTCATATTAGAATCAAAAGAACTTTTTTTTTCAAAAAAAGAAAAAAAGATCTATGCTACTTAATGGCAACAAAGGCCCAATTGCACAATCCCACTGTGCCGCAGCTAGGACGGCATCTGATTTTTGTTTTGTTTTTTTAATGCTGCTTGAGATCGAAATATTTCACAACCCATGTACGATTGTCGTTTGTGATTTTTCACTTTCAATGACAGGATTTCAAACTTCGTATATTGTACTCCCATTTGCCATGTACGGTAATTACAAAGATTTTGGGGTATCGGGTGTTTGGGTAAAATTGTAAGACAAACCTAAACTGCATTACAATGTTAATAAGTGAACTTAATTTGACCTTCTTTAAACTTTTGAATGTTCCATTGTTCAATGTCGAAGTACTTTGTCCACACCCTTTTCTTCTCTGACAAGGAGCTGATGTTTGCTCTATATTATTTAATATTTTTAAAATCAATTCTACCGATTAGCCCATCGATGAATCGGTGAACAGTTTATTTCGCATGATTAACCAATAACAATACACAATATGCATGTGAGGGACGAGTATTATTTTTATAGTCCCCATACTTCGATTCTACAGTGCAGTATCTGTGTTGCTTTAAAAGGCGGGGCCTGTCTTGGTGAGTGACGTGTGTGTCAATGACTATCGTTGGCTGTTCTTAGCTCAGGATAAGTTCTGCAAAAATAACTGAACCGTTGAAGAGCTGGCGGTGCTTTTGCGGAGGGTCAAATTAAGTTCACCTGTTGAGGTTATAGTTCATTTTAGGTTCTTCCTGAAATTTCACCCTCAAGCTTCATTAAAAAAAAAAAGATTTAGTGAGTACTAGCTATCATGCTGAAAGCTTTTCAGTATGAACGTGTGAGAGGAAATGAGGTAGTAAAGGGTCAGAAGATGAGAGGGACCAGCGGGTTGGGACGGCTTCTGTCTGAAGTCGAACAAGAAGTTTGGCGCTTAAAAATGTGCCTCAAAATCTCAATAAAGTTTGAATCTTTTTGTGTGTGTGTGTGTGTGTGTGTGTGTGCGCGCGCGCGGAAACTCCCTCCACGTATATGTATTTGTAGCCTATGTGCTTAGTTTACAAATTAATGGAGTTTATGTATCACGGGGAGGTAAAAAAACGGATTGACCATGGAAGTCAACCGGCACCAGCGAAGGGATCGTGTTTGAATTTGGAGTCAGGCTCCACGGTAGTGAGAGTTGGCGTCGATAATAAATCCCCTCTAACCAACGTCTAAGGAGCTTACATAAAGCGGCGGCCCATCTGTCCACTCGCTATCCTATGGCTCCGCCCCCTCAAATCAAACCATGATGTGGCCATAGAGCACATCATGACAAATCCCGCTCTGGTCATTTTTTTCAGCTGTCGGAGTTAACGCACAGCCGAGGTGCAATGGAATCAATGGTGGAAAATTTCGGTTACTTTTCGGAAAGATCCAAATAAAGGGCTGTGCGATATGGACAAATTTTAATATTCAGATTTTTGCTGAATATCTCAATGATGCATTAACGATATTACGATGGGTTCTCGCAAACTAAGCATTTTTTTTTTAACAACAAAATATCAATCCAAAAGGATGTGGAAAGTGTTTTTTTTTTCTTAGAACTTACGGACAGCCGTCATCATTAAAGTCAGCAATAAATTAAAATTTCCATTCACATTGTACTGCAAATGTGCTTTAATGACACAAATTTTATGCTACGACCGTGTTTGTTGTGTGTCGCGTGCGTGTTTTAACTGCATCAACGTGTGTGTTGTTCTGTACCAATCTGTCCATGCACGACCGTAGTAAGGACAAGTGGTTCAGAACGTGGATGGATGTGCTTTGTGGCTTTACATGTGCATTACATGGCGATGTGACGCGTAAACTCCCAGCGAAATCAACAATTTTCCTGGATGGTGTTTTGCAAGTCCCCCAAACAATCATGTTACATTGTATGACGTTTGCCGTTAGATTTTTACAAGCTTAGCTATTTTTTTTTTTTTTTATCCACTGGTAATTTTAAAAATGGTCAAGTATTATTTTAAAACACAATCTATGTGTAACGTCCGTATATACTTGACACCGAACAAGGAAGTGGATTTCTTTCGCGTGTGCTGACCAGGCAGCGGAGGCTCTGGCGTGTGTTCCTCCTTCCTCTCGCCCTCCGTGTGTGTGTGTGTGTGTGTGTGTGTGTGTGTGTGTGTGTGTGTGTGTGTGTGTGTGTGTGTGTGTGTGTGTGTGTGTGTGCGTGTGTGTGTGTGTGTGTGTCAGAGGGTGGGGTGGGTGGCGCCACAGATCAGGCAGCCCTATTTTTTGTTTCAGAGTCCGTTATTGTAATTTTCCATTGGTATTTTCTCAAAAGCGAAAACAACCCTTCCACCGTATAGGCAGCCATGATGTGTGTGACACAAGCGCATTTGTCTTCGACAAACGGCCATATAGGTGCGTTATATTTCGATATAAAATGGAACCTGTGACGTGCACAATCTCAATTTTGACTTTCCTCTTAGAGGCATATGCAAAGGGGAAGGATGAATGGGACTGAGGTAATGATTGCATCGAAAAGAGCCCATTTACATCTGTGTCCGAGGGAACGCCAGGAAAATAGAACAAACAAACCACCCCCCAAATACCCGCATAAGCGCTTGTAAAAGAGAAAAAAAAAACGGTTGTGAATGAACGCTTTGTCCGCACGCTGAAAACCCTGCAAAAAAACAAAAAACAAAAAAAAGCGACAACTGATGCTGAGTGAAAAGTGGTTTGATTGCTACGAGAATGGCGACTGAAGAAGAAAAAAAAAAATCCGCGAGGTAAGTGAGGTACGTTCTCACTCTCATTCAGGATGTACATTCGGAATCAGGCCTTGAGGCTGTGCTGAACGCTTTAAAGGGGCACAGACAGGGCGGGGGAGTAGAGCGGGTGAGGGGGGGTTACATTCAACCAGAGTTTACTGGAGCTGTGAGAACTCTTGTCGAAACGACATCTACTTGAAGGACTTAGAAAAATAATTTTGGAGAATAGAAATTGTCTAGGCCACTCTTTAATCCTTTCTCGGAGCTCCCTTCAAAAGAGAGGTACCAGGCACGCTCGGGCGCGGCGTCAGAAGGGGCAAGTGTGGGTCAGGTCGGGAGTTTCCGAGGTGAGAGGAGTGTATCCTAAAGTGTAGCGTGCAGGATTGTCATTGAGTGGCTGCTTGGTGCCACGTGGTTTAAACTCTCTCTCTGGCTCTTTTGCTCCCTCACACAGTCTTGGTTGCAGAATCTCTGTTTTGTTTTGTTTTTTTGGGGGGTTGTTGTTGTTTTTTTTTTTCTGTCCTAAGTGCGTGACATTGCTTAGCCCTCTGTGGAGTCTGGGAAAGTCATTTCACTGCCAAACACCTCCCGGTAGAGTGGCGGGAAGGTGTACGCCGTCTCGGGGTGGACCAGACGGAAGAACTCCAGTTTGTCGATGTGGAGCTTGCAAATGGACTTCATGATGGGAAGTTTGGACACCATCTGGAGGAGAAGGACGTCAATCAGAAAACATAGCGGCCAGATAGGCCGTGCGTGGCTCACGGCGGCCAAAAATGCAGCCGCACCTTGGCGAGTTTCTCTTCTGATGCGGCGCCTTTTTGTAAGCAGCGCTGGAGGGCGACGTAGACCTTCTCCTGAAGCTTCTGGATCTGTTGCACATCTGTCAGCCACGGTCGGTCTAAGAAAAAGAGGCCGACAATAAAAATAGATCAAATATCAAAATAGCGTTCATGCGGTTGCTTCGTTAAGTGGAATCCAACCGTTGAGTGCCAAGAGCGGGTATGATCGTCAAGTACATTTTAATATTTTATATTATATATATATAAAATAATATATAAAATAATTTTTTTTTAATTACATATTTTTTAATTATATGTAAAATAATTAAAATATATATATCTTCTTAAATTATATATATATATCTATATATATAGATATATATATATAGATATATATATATAGATATATATATAAAAATACAGGAATTCTATGAAAAGGAATATCCTTCACCCGAGCATGATGTTATTAGCTTTACACATTTTTGCTCTGTGTTACTTAATAAAACGTCCACAGCGTTTATTTGTCACCTGGTGAGAGCAGCACAGCGGCAGTGAAGAGGGCCATTTCCTCCTCAGACATCTGGATACGACTCAGGCTTTTGGCCAAGTCGAACACGGCCGTCACGAGGTCATCGCAGCCTGGCGGAAGGGGGAAAATATAGCGGTGTCACGGGTGTACGGAGGGAAAAATTGTGAGGGAGAAGGTGTGAGAAGACGGAGCGCGAGGGCGTCGCTCACCAAGTGCCTTAAAGAAGTGAGCGGGGGCGAATCTTCCGTCAAAGAGGAAGGTGTTATTGATGGGGTTATAGGCTCGACACATTCGGATCAGAAGGACATCCATGCAACCTGCGGATAGAAGAGAAATAAATTCACAATCAAGGTCAGGAATCTCTTTGTGAGGACAAGCGGTTCAGACAGTGGATGGATGGGATCGGGATCGAGCTCCGCCACGAATTGAGGGTTAATCGGCGAATAGGTGAGTAACGACTGTAGTTTTATTCCAAGTTCGACTTTCAACATCAGCTGTCACCGGCGAATCTAAAGTTGCACTGGGTGAAGTCACCAACGCTCCTCTGATAGGACTTGATCACGTCTGATGAGCCCATGATTGTCCCAAAACGTTAACTTGTTGCTAATTTCCAAATCGCAGATTCTCCACAGCATGGCTGTCAGCGCAATAATTGCAACGCCATCCAAACAAGAGCCGCCGTTCTTCAAATGGAGGACAGACGCTGGCGCTTTTCTTAGTCACGCCGCATGCTTGTGATTGTCGAGCTCCGTGAAGTCGGCGGCACCTTGGGGCGAATGTACCGCGCGTGCACTTTCATGTGACAATAAGGATAGCTATTACAACGAAGAGGCAGCAAAGTCATAAACACACACAGCAGGGGGGCCATATTCCCCAGAGGCCCCATTTCTTTGCGACAACAGCTCCCAGCTGCACTGGACCAAAACACAACCTGATTTTTTTTTTGTTTGTTTGTTTGTTTGTCTTTGGATGGAGTGCCATGTTGTGCCAGAACATGTGGAACGGCACTGAGGTCGCTCGACCGGTAGAGACGTCCGCATGCACCGTTGCTCCGTGTGTGTTCGTGTTTCAGTCGGTTGAAGGTTTGAACTGGCATTGACCGGACTGTATTTTAAAGGCTTACTGACCTGCTTTGAGGAGGATAATCTGATCGTTCTGACACAGGTCCATAAAGCCGGAGATGCGCTTGGCAAACTCCACCACGTACTGGATGGCGTTGGTGATGTGAATGGCGCACTGTTGCCACATCGCCTCAGCGGACTGACAGAAGAGGAAAAAAGAAATAAAAAAAACACCATAGAGAATCCAATTAGTCAGAGAGAACAATAATGTAAGTTGTTTAGCGCTCATCTGCTTTTCGCTATTAATAGGTTTCCAACACTAAAGACATGCTGACCTACATTGCGTGCGTGCTTGATTGATTAACCCACAAATATTTTGAGATGTTAATTTGTGGTTAGGGGCAATTATTTGAGGAAAATGCATCCGCCGGAACAAGGCACATTTTTTTGTTTGTTTTTGCTTGGATTCTTTAAAAAAAAAAAAAAAAAGATGATCATAATCTTGCGTTCTATTTGGATTTTGTGGCTTATTTGTCAAGCATATTCAACAAGAACGAGTAGCCTCAAGACGGTGTGTTCAAAGAAGAATGGAATTCGAAGACACAGTATGTGACGAAGTCACAAATAAACTGCTGCGAAACGTGCCTCTCAAATTGTTTACTCATATTTTTTATCTTATTATTTACAATAGAAAAAGGAAAAAAAAATCGACGACTCAGCTAAAAATCATTTTGCATTATTACACAATAAAATGTGCAGATATTACTGTTGTCCACTTGAAAAAAGAAAAAAAAATCGACGACTACAAATCATTTTGCATTATTATACAATAAAATGTGCAGATATTACTGTTGTCCACTTGGGGTCGCCATCTTCACATTCCACACGATATTATCTGTGACTTTGAGTGTGTGTGGCTTTGAAGGGCGACGCCTAGGGCCTGTTGGGTGCCGTGGGTGCGAAGAGTTGACTGTTGTGCTCTCTGGGCGGAAGTTGCCACCTTTGAAGTATGTTTATCACGTCTTAAATTTTTGTGACTGTTTGCGCACCCGAGCCGTCAGAAGTGCACCGGCGGGCGCGGGATTGCAATAATTAGCGGTGGTAGGCGACGTTAAATTAGCTCAAATTGATGCCTTGTGTTAGCAATTGTAAAACGTGCTGTTGTGGTAAAAAAGGTGAGTGAAATCTGTTCTGCAGTAGGTCACCAACGTGGTTCCCGCGGCATCTCTTTAAAAAAAAAAAAAGGGGGTCACCCCTGATGGGACATACCTTAGTTTGGTACATTCGAGTCTCTTCCATGCTATACGTGGACCACGCCATTCTCTTCAGCTCCTCTGTACTGTACTGACTCGTCTCGATATGGGACTTGACCACACACTGAGTTATGTGCTCTGAGTGGAGAGAACGTTAGCGCTCAGGTTATTGTCACGCTCGGGATTGATCTTTACGTTCACAGGTAAGAAAAATCGAGCCGTACCGAGCTCAAGGAGGGAGCATCCTTCAGGCAGCGGGTTGAGGATGGCGTGCGAGAAGAGCCCGGAGTCGTGCAACAGCTGGTACTCGTGCTTGATGCTGTGGTTGCCCTCCGTAAAGTCCAAGTTGGTCTGTTCCGGCGAGCTTTGAGAGGATGAGCTGCTGCCGGCGCTGCCGGCGAGCATGTCCAGGTTGCCGTACTCGCAGCCCCCGTCCTCGGGGGTCAGCGGGAGGTCGAAGAGCAGGCCGTCGGGCAACGTGGTGAAGTCGTCCAGATCGCTGAGCGTGGTGCTGGACACTCTTCTGTAGGTGCGGCTGTGGTCGCCCGGGTCGCCGCTCTCTTCCCGGGCTGCCATGCCGGCGCACTCCTGCGACTGCTGGTGCTTCTGGACCTCGGCGTACAGGCTGTCGCGCTGCTTCTTGGACATGCGGCCAAATTTCACCGCTGCACCAACGACACGTGTACATTTAGTGGTGCACATAAGCTTGGGTACAGTCAACGACAACATGTGCAACGTGAACTTACTAAAATAGATCATGTATTGCGATTAAAAAAAATATTTATATACATACAGTATATATGCAGTATTGTCATTAAAAAAATGCATGCACACTCTGCCCTTTTAGTGAGAAAAATGTGGCCCTGCAGTGGCACCTTGGCTTATGAGTTTTATTTGTTCCGCTCTTAACTCAATCTACTCAAAAGCAAATACATTTTCCCCACTAAAAGAAATCCAAATACCATAAATCCATTCCAGCACCCCTCCAAAAAAACGCCACTCGACATTTTGCCAATTGCTTTTAATAAAGAAAAATATTCCTGTCGCGTATAAAAACATACGATAGATTATGTAAGCTAGTTTTCTAAAGTCGACTATTTATTGTGCATACTATTTATATGTTGGATGCGTGCCATCGAAGAGGTCTTGGCCTCGTGAATGACATCAGGTGCTCGAGTGGAGTTTGTTTGTTGCTTCATCTGCGTGTAAGTGTCTGGGCGTCACACTTTTGGCCTTCAGCGGGCTCCTTTGTGAGCGTGAGTGTGAGTTGGCCACATGCGAAGGCATAATCACGCTTTAATTGCTCCATTTTCTTTCTTCAGGCAGAGCCATAATTGACACTTGCGTGAACCTCAAATTTGAGCTTGCAACACAAAACGAGGGAGGGAAAATTAAAAAAAAGCTGCCAAGTGATGGCTCAGAGCTCGTCTTGCTTGCCAAGCTTATACTGTTTGTTTCCCTCAAGCTTGCTTAGGCCTCAAACCTGCTGAGCAGCAAGAGAAGGACCAGCAGGAGATCGTCGATCCAAGTTGTTGGCAAAGCAATCTTGAGAGAAACAAATTTATCGACTAAAAATCCATCCCCATTTTCGATCATTTTATCGCCCGGGCCGACATGGGGTGTGTGCTCCATCCCGATCTAGGTGTTGACCATGTGCCACTACAAGTCGGAGGTCAGTCAGTCTGCTTTCGGACAGGACTCACCGTCGCGGCTCATGCCCAGAGCGAGACACTTCTGCAGCCTGCAGTGCTGGCAGCGGTTGCGATTGGTCCGATCGATCAGGCGCATTCCAAATATCAGTGGGCGGTGGGGGAAAAAAAAAAAAAATTAATTGTTGGATGCGACCCATGTGTCATGAACTGAATGGCAGTGACGTGATTTGGCACAAGCGAGGACTCACCTTGCAGCCTTCGCAGGTGATGACACCATAATGGATGCCCGAAGATTTGTCCCCGCAGATTTTACAGGGTATCACTTCTATTTGTGCTAGAGAGAGAAAAGAAGGGATTGTTGATTTAGTGCGTCTTCAAACGGGAGGGGGGGGGGGGCAGAGGCGCTGTTTGTGGATGAAGCAAGTTCGAGCTAGTTTGATGACAACTTGACATTTGCAATCATTACAAAAGGGAAATATGATTTGAGATCCAGAGGTTTGGCATGATCAATGTGGTCAATGGAACAAATGAATCTCTTTTTCTCGAGGCAGCACGGCATTCTTTTTTTGGATTGATTGTCACAGCCCCAATACAAGTCAAAATGAATCGGAATGTCGACTGACCAGCGAAAGAGGGAAATGCTGCGCCTTTTCATGGAACGGCATTTGTTTTGTTTTTGAACTGCTCCTTCTTGGAAGTACTCATTTGCATCGATTCTACTTCAACTCAACATCTTGACAGCATTCATCAAAACTTATGTCAGGCAACACGCTGCAAGCAGTTTGGACTCACTTTATTTCCGGGCCCAAAAACTTCAGGTTACTTGGTGTCACAAGAGCGGCAATGTATCGCAAAACGCAACGAGCGAGAACCCGGCACCTCCCGTGATTGACACGGGAGCCGCCGTATACATTATGCACCTTGAGTTCATTGTGGAAGCCTGAGCCTTCTTACCGCGGAACAGCATGTTCTTTTCATTACGTTGTTTATCTAAGTAGCCGGGCCTCCTCAAGCCCAGAATAGCAGGTCAATTGCATTAGCTGAGGCCCGAGGTTATAAAGTTTCATGGCTCTCTGTCAAGCCACCCCCCCCCACCCCCCCTTCCTCCTACTTGTCCTTGTCCTTCTCTAGGAAGAACAAAATACTTGCAGGCTCATCCAGAAAAACAAACCTACTTCTGAGGATCTCGAATGGGGAAAAAAACGCAACTGATGGAACTGAGCGGCAACAGTTAATGACAGTGATTTCACCCTTCCTTTGCTTTTAAAGGCTCTTTTATGAAAATAAAAAATACTCAGAATTAAATCCGGCTTGGGGAGGGAGATGAGATCTGCTTTGACAGTTGAGCAGAAAATGAGATCATCAAAAAAAGGAAAACAAAAAAACAAAACAACAACTTGGAAATGTTTCATCCATACTTCCTGCATAACAGGTGACATATTTGCGAGTCTGAGCAGCGGGGACTAGCTTGAATTCATAGGCGGTATCGGAAGGATATGCATGAAGAAATAAAACGGAAAGTGGAAAGGAAAAAAAAAAAAATGCTGCTCCCTCTACTGCTCCTCTTCAAGGCCTCCCGCCCCTCCGGCCAGCTTGTTATATAACTGCAGTCTGGCCGCATTCCACGAATGCACGCATTCAAAAGGTGGTTGTCCGGGCAACCGTGTGACGTTCCTCGCTCGCCCGCCTCCGTTGCCATTGGCTGCCGGGCGGGTGACTTGAGCGTTTTGACTCGCCGGCTCACCTGCCAGTCAGCTGAGCGGAGCCCAAACTGCTCCACTGACACACTTTCCCAGTCAAGCAGGAGGAGGACGAGGAGGAGGCGCTTCCTCCTCCTCCTCTTTTTTTTTCCTTCTCATTTTAAGGCAGGCTAGGACTGATCAAAGAATAGAAGGGTGTGGAGTGCAACTTTTGTAAAACATAATGTGGATGACAGATTTAAGACGTAGAGTCGGTGGCTGTTTCGAAACTTGCTTGACATCTGGATTTATTGAAAGCGTCAAAAGTACACGCGAGTCAGAGCCCAGTGGCAAGAACAGCTGTAGCCAATCGCGGCTCCTGACTTGTCGCAGCATGTCAAGTATTGGGAGTGAAATTTCAGCTGTGCCCAAGCGAGTCCATAAATCTATTTTTTGCTCGGGTTGCAGCCGGCGGTAGATGAACCCGCAGGCGAATAAATGTCTCGGTAATTACGACATACAAATAATAAAAGCAAACATGTATTACCATCAATAAGGAAAAAAGGGGGGGGGGCAGTTAATGGCAATGGTCCCGGCCAGATTAAACGTCACTTTTTAAGTTTAATCACTCGTTATCTCCGCCAAGGAGATTTAGCGGCATTGCACAAAAGCAACTGTAACTTTGTCACTAAGCTTAACGCAAGGGCCGGTATTTGGTTTGACATTTAGCTTAATTTATGAGCGAATACTCCGTGAACATCAATTCAGATAATTGATTTGTGTATGTGTGTATTTTATTTAACAAAAATGTAGCAGAGCTCAGACTCACAACCAAAATCCCAAGAGTTCTGGATGGATTCAAAAATTCCACTTCTAACGATGCAAGTTTTTCCTTTTTAGTTTAAAATAGCTTACCTTAACTGGCAACAATGCAACGAGGAATTCTAGTTAAGGTTAGCCATTTTAAACTAAAAAGGAAAACATTTCCGAGTTTGGAAGTGGATTTTTTTTTAATCCAACCGGAACTCGTTTGCTGCTGTCAACACAATTAGGGAACAGGGATTTTGGAGCTCTAATTTTAATATGTACATAAAAATATAGATTAATGTTGGTAATTTTGGTGGTACTTGAGAGGATTTTTTTTAGGAGGCATTGGCCTCTTAAGATTCATTGGCCTGTCTTAATAGTTTAAACCGTATTTGTTTTTTTGCCTTTGAGGCGACAAAAGAAACAAATTTAGTCACCCCTATGCCAGTCTCAACACTTAAGCAAGAAAAAAACGTTGTAAAAGGCTTGTCAATGCAGACTTTGCTCTCTCATTCGAGCTAATCAAACAGTCCAAGGTCCTATTTACCCGTTCCTTACCTGTGATACTGTACTTAACCTACTTTTGGAAAGGAATTGCGTCTGTGAGTTATTGCTGGATCATTATTACATAGCGCAGTCCAAGTAAAAGGCAGACATTTAAAATATTTTCCCCCCTGTCAGTTGTTCCAGTGATTGACGCTCTCTTTCTAAGAAGCTACTCGGCATTTAACCTGCCTGACCTGACACTTGCCCTGTAAAAAAAAGAAAGAAAAAAGAACTGCATGTTCAAGTAATTACTGCACTGATCCAACCGTCACTGAGTGAGAGCTGAAAGTACAAAGGGGCCCATCACAGAGCCCTGCGACATACCTCGAGAGTGGCTAGACACCGCGGGGGGAATTCTGACATTCACGGGCATCTTTTCTTGACTGACAAGATGGTTGCGGGGCAATTCATCATTGACAAGCAGGCCAAATCACACACCGGCTCAACTTACACTCGTGGTGCAGAATGTTTCCAGCAGACCGCGGAGAGTGCAATTTGAAGCAGAATGCAGCCACAACGCAACACTGACGGCTCACAAAAAGCCCCAAAAGGTATATTTCCATCAGCACGCATCCTAAAAAGGACTTTGGAGGATTTGTCGGCCAGCGCTTCACCATAAAAAAAATAACAACGATGGCGTTTGAATTTAACACAATTAAAACGGAAGGATGTAATGTGATTCCCAACACCTGTGCTGTCAAGGATCATCAGATGTGCTGCGGAAAATCATCCAATTACATGTAAATGGGGCAAAATGATTCATTTATTCAATTCCTCTTAATGCGCTGTCGAGGTATCGGATCGGGACTCGATATCGGCAGATACTCAAAATCAAGTTACTTGGATATGGGTGCGAAAAATGCGACTGTGAAGGGCTACCAGTTTGATACACACTTCTGACATTTTTTTTTACCCACTTTTTCCGATTCCGATTAAATCATCATATGTACCTTGTCTGAGTAAGTGATGCAATCCAATTTAGGATAAGATGAAATAATTATCTTGCGACGATGTAGCTATAGCGTGAAAAGCAAAAGTACAAGCTAGCATCGTTGAAGTCAACAATATTTGATGAACAATAATTAGGAAAGAACCGTTTTCGCGCAGGGCAACTTGTAACATGGGCACGTTCATCGGCTGTTATCAAAGGGTGAGTAAACATATTGTTTTGAGGAGTTACGACAAACCTAGACGCATTTGACGGTTGGGCGAGCTAACGTGACACGTTGATCAAGGTTTCACAATAGAAATAGTGTGCTGGCATTCATTCAAGTGACCTTCTTTCCAAGTGGGAAAACGGGAAAGAGGTTCCATTGCCGCATGATGTCAGTCTTTCCCAGCCTTTGGGCCAAGGCACATATTTGACATTGGAAACACTTTGTGGCATAGCACCAAACCGAAATGTCATTAAAAGTAGAGAGTGTATATTGAAATCATGATGATCTCGTCTCAATTTACTCCGGAACGTACTGACTCTCAGACTGGGTCACATCTGGTCTCGTTTAGTTGAACGCAAAGCGGACATACTTGGAATTTATTAAAGGGAGGCACAGATAGTAATAAGACTTTTCGGACCGGTTAAGTGAAATTGGATCATTTAATCGAAGCACACGTGATGGTTGTGACACGGCACCGAGGTTGGGAATCACCGCATGACACAGGCCTTCCCAACGTAGTTTTTCTAAACACACAGCATCATTCCATTGCTGTGGCGAGCCAGCGGACACTGGCGCAAGGTTGCAAAATTGCCCCCCTGGCAAGAACTTTTTCCGGTGGCTGACTGCAGCTCGGTCCTCTCCAGGCTTTACCAGGCTTTTGGCTGCTGGCGATAGCAGCGGCGCGGCTTGTCGAGAAGGGATCCTGTTTCGAGACACTTGCCACCGACTCCGGGTAAATTGTACTACAAGTTGGAGCGGCGCGATGGCTATAAAAGCTTCTTCAACCGGCGTCGAACTTCTTGCCAGGCGACAATTATGCAACGCTGCTCCGATGTCAATTGGCGAGCCATCGGGGCAAGGGAACGGTGCGCTTTCAAAAACCGCAAAGTCTGAGCCGTCAAATACCGAACGCCTCACGTCTGTCCAAATGACTGGTGAAACCGAAC